CGCGTCGATGGGGTCGGGGGTCCATGCGTCTGGGTCCTCCTCTGGGGCCACGGGGGGAGGGGGGCGGACCGTCGAACCAGTGGCTGCCGCCCTGCGGTCGACCCTCAGAAGGCGGGCGAGTCGAGACGAGAGAGAGAGCGCTTTTTTCTCTTCGCGATCGCGGCCGTCACACCGGCCCCGGCCGTCCCCCTCCCCCTCCCAGGTGACGTCTCGCTCCGTGCTGGCCTCCGAGCTTGCTTCAGCTCTGGGGGTCGGAAAAGGGGTATGGTGTAGAGGGGTGCGGTGCCAATGCTAGATATGGCGAGGCTATTTTTTTTTTTTTTTTTTTTGTTTCGGTATTTTTTGTAAGAAAAACATTTTCACGATTTGGCACCACGCCCCTTTATGCCACACCCCTTTGCGACCTCCAGATTGGTTCCTCGCAGACATTCACAGACGGCGCCGGCGCGAAACGTGACGCTCCCGGCGGTTACGCCCGCTGCCGCCCAGGAAGAAAAAAAAAAAAGCTCTCGCACGGCGGCCCTCCCTGGCGGTTCGCGCCATGTCTGGGCCTCCTGTAGGCTTCTCGTCGGCACGGCCGACTTCGCCTCGAAGCAGCGGGGCATTATGGACCCCGCGAGGGGTCTGGGGACCGGTTTTGAACCGATGTGGGCCAGGCGGGAGAGCGGGCTTCGTCACAACGGGCCTTCCTCCGGTATCCAGCCCGACGCCGATGCAACCAGCCTGCGGTCGACCCCACTGGAAAAAGAGCTGGAGAGCGCCCCGCATGCGTCCGGTCGATGTGATGTGTGCAGGCCCAGCAAAAAGATGCCGGAGGCTGAGGCTGCAGAGTGGACTCGATCCACCCCGCGCGGCGCTGAGGGCAGGAAACTAACGTGAGGTCGGGCATGTCCTCCTACTGGCGGATTTTGGAGGGTAGATCCAAAACAGTCACAAAATACAAGGCAAACAATAAAACATCGTCCCCAGACTATGTTTTCACTATTTCTGGATATTCCATGCCCGACATACGTCTGGATTTACGTTTGAGACCTCCGGGGGCCGCCGCCCAGCTGCACGAAGAAGACCTGGCTTGCGCTTCGCCTGTTCCGGGGAGATGCTCTGTCCCATCGCGCCAGCCATCCGCGCCGAATCCGCGTCGGAACCGCGTCGGGTGCACGGGAAGACCGCAGCGTGTAGGACAGACAGCGCCCCCAGGCCGACGACGGACGACGACGGATGACGACGACGACGACGGCGACGACAACGACGACAACTACGGCGACGACGACGACGACGACGACGGCGACGACGACGACGACGACAGTGGTGCCCCCGTCGAATGCGCGACGCAAGCCTGCCGAGCCCCGGCCACCGGAGGGCCGAGCGCTGGGGAGGCATCTGGCCACGGGAGCAGCTATAGCCTACACCCAGACACTCCGGGCCCCTCTGGCGAGGAGGAGGAGGAGGAGGTCGGACGAGGAAGACAGCGGAGGAGGAGGCGGGGCATGGGCACGGTCGGGCCCGATGAGATATCCCTCATCCCCCTCCTCCTCCTCCTCCTCCTCCTCCTCCTCCTCCTCCTCCTCCTCCTCCTCCTTCCCCTCTCCTCCCCCACCCCTCCTCCCCTCCTCCCTCCTCCTCCTCCTCCCTCCTCCCTCCTCCTCCTCCTCCTCCTCCTCCTCCTCCTCTCCTCCGCCTCCTACTCCTTCCTCCTCCTCCGCCTCCTCCTCCTCCCCCCCTCCTCCTCCTCCTCCTCCTCCTCCTCCTCCTCCTCCTCCTCCTCCTCTCCTCTCCTCCTCCTCCTCCCTCCTCCTCCTCTCCTCCTCCTCCTCTCCTCCTCCTCCTCCCCTCCTCCTCCTCCTCCTCCTCTCCTCCTCCTCCTCCTCCTCCTCCTCCTCCTCCTCCTCCTCCTCCTCCTCCTCCTCCTCCCCTCGCCTCCTCCTCCTCCTCCTCCCTCCTCCTCCTCCTCTCTCCTCCTCCTCCTCTCCTGGGATCCTCTGGGTCGGCGCATGAGGAGATCCGGGGCGCCGCTCAAAAGGAAGCGGACACGGACATGACACGCTCGGGCGGGGAAGCGACGCCCTGCCGTGCACGACAGGGGGGGGGGCGTGGGGACCCCCCATCCCCGACTCTGTCGGGCTGTGTCGGAGGAGGAGGAGGAGGAGGAGGAGGAGGAGGAGGAGGAGGACGAGGAGGACGAGGAGGAGGAGGAGGAGGGAGGAGAAGGAGGAGGAGGAGGAGCAGGAGGAGGAGGGAGGAGGAGGAGGAGGAGGAGGAGGAGGAGGAGGAGGAGGAGGAGGAGGAGGAGACTGGGCCAGGAGACTGTGGGTCAGAGTCGGGGACATACCGATGGAGGGGCGTCCACCCTCGATGGAGGTGCGTCGAACTGCACCCTGCAGGTGTGCCTCCGAGCTCCCGGCTCTGTTCAACACGGCAAGTTCTCGCTGGGAGGAGCTCGGGGATTGGGAGCGATGAGTCGCCCGCGAATGCAGGACGCTGGCGGATGGCCGCGGCGCTCGGCAGTGTCCTCATCCTCGCTGACGTCGAAATCGGCGTTGCCGAAAGACATCTCGGGCGGCTCCAAGGGCGGCATGACGGCCGCTGGCACCGGATGTGCAGCGCTGCCTGTGAGTCGGGCGTGGCTAAAGGCGAGCCTGGCCCAAGGGGGCCCTGGCTTCGCCAGGGAGGCCGAGACGGCCTCCAAAGCACCCCTCACGAGGCCCACAGGGCCCTCTGGGGCTCCCAAATGTCCGGCTCCAGAAACCCTGAACCCGAAAATGATGACGTCTCACTTTTCTGTGGCAACTCATGGTAGCCTCCCATGCCATCTTGCTGGCTCTGGCGAGTCGACGCCAGTAGACGCTGAACCGACGCTGCTCGACGCCAAATCGACGCTGCTCGACGCTTGCCGATGACGCGACGTCGGCGCCATCTCACGACCCCCCGACGCGAATCGACGCTAGGGACGGACTTGCGAGGGTCCGCGAGGATCCCATGACTTGCGACCGAATCACCTCCACACCCGCTGAAGCGGGCCACCCGCAGGAGGGCCCGCCGCAGCTCTACGTCTGCTGACCGCCGCCAAGGCCAGGGTTAGGTCGGGCATGTCCTCCTACAGGCGGATTTTGGGAGACAAACGAAACAGAGTCAAGAAATAGTAGAAAGGATGGTCAACAATAGTCGAAACATCGTCCCCAGATTGTGTTCTGGACTATTTCTGAATATTCCTCCTGTAGAGGGACATGCCCAACTCAACGCTAAGGGCAGGGATGCACCTCAAGGCCGCGTCGAGGGGGACGGTGAGTGATAAACCGCAGAACTGGCGCACCCAAAAGCAAGCCGCAGGCGTGGAGATCAAGTCATTATCCAATCTTCTGTTGCTCACATTGCACACCAATAGAAATTCGAAATAAATTCGAGCACACTGAAATAATTTCGAACACACATTTCTCAGAGATTCGAACACGAAAGCACATCCCACAACTTATTTCGAGCACCCAGAAAAAAGTATCGGGGCAGTGGCGAACGAGTATCGCCTCCCAGGGCCCGACACGTGAGGACCCTCAAATTTCAGTACGTACTTTCTTGGTGCTCGAAGTTCTTCCTGGTGGTCAAGGCTAAAAAGTCGGTTGGCACATCACAGCTCCAACCTGCGCTTTCTTGTGCGAGAGCACTTGGCGACCTTCCGAGGTGGCTCACGCATGCGTGTCCGCGCTGTCGACGCCGCTTCCTCTCGTCGCCTGCATGCCTGGCCTCGCCCCCGACCCGGCCTACAACTCTCTGCCGGGCGATCGCGGAGGCCGGTCCGCGTCGAGCCGCCTGCGGCGGCAGCATGCCTGACAGCCGCCATCCAGAAAGTCGACTTCACCTGCTCCTCCTCCTCCTCCTCCAATTCCTCCTCCTCCTCCTCCAATTCCTCCTCCTCCTCCTCCTCCTCCTCCTCCTCCTCCTCCTCCCCCTCCCCCTCCCCATGAACAGTTTCTCGTCGATCTGATTCTGGAGGCAGGCAGGCAAGGGCTGGTGGTGCCAAGCCACCCATGTCGGGCGGGCCATATCCGAACAAGTTTGCAACGAGGCGTTCTGTTACTTGGCAGGTCGACCGTGATGTTGCGGTCCAAACTGTGCTCATGGATATGGATACCGGCGCCCCTTGTGTGCGACTTACCTTGCTATAGCGTCGACACGGCACGCTTATGTGCATATCCTGATGTTCACGCGGGTGGGTGTGTATAGGCGCGCATGCAATGTTGGCGTTGCGCGCGTACCGCAACTTGGTTGCTGGTCGGCGTGGTCAGCTCATGAGTGCGCTGGCGCTCATGCTTACTTACGCTAATTACGTTACGCTGGCGCTGGCTTTGACAACATCACACATCACGCGCATACAGCATCCCGTGTAAGTGTTGTCCTTGTCACCGCTTTAGCTCATGATCACGCTGACGCTGACACTGACGCTTGCGGCCCAAACGACGCCGGATGCGCTGCCTTCTCCTGCTCGCCCCCGTCCGTCCCTCCGTACCTGCTGCTCTGCTCTTCTCTCCCCCTCTCCACAAGGCACATCCGCACGGCGTCCGCGACCAAAAAAACAGAGAGAGAGAGAGAGAGAGAGAAAGACGAGAGAGAGAGAGAGGGAGATCGGACAACCTGGGCGGAGCCGACCAGCCATAACTGGGGGAGCTGTGGTCCTTACCCCCCTGGGGGAACCCATCGCCTCGACGATCTCTCGAGAGGCGTGTCGACATCGATGGGCCCCCCAGGGGGGTAAGGACCACAGCTCCCCCAGCTGTGGCTGGCCTGCGGAGTCCCGTCCACGGGCCGGCGGGCCGGCGCGCCGCACCCGCAACACTGTTTTTCTTTGGTCTGCGGGTCGAGAGCGAACCTCTTCCGGTCAAGAGCGAGGCGGGCCGCGCAACGCACTCATTGGGGAGATATAGAGCACAGGCGGGCGGGGCCTCAGGCGGCCGGAGGGCGCGGGGTGCAGGCGGTGCTGAGGAGCTTGCACAGGAAAAGGAACGCCTTGGACAGGAGCCGGGGGCGAAGTCCGGGAGGAACCCGCAACACAGTGGCCTTGTGCTGCCGGCCGGGAGGCCCGCGTGCGCACCCGCCCTGTGCGGAGGGCCCGTGCGCGAAGGGAGGCTTCCCGGCCCTCGCCCCGCCGCACGCGCGCGGTCGCCCGGGGGGAGGGCGCCGCCGCCCTCGCTCCCGCAGGTCGGCCGGCGGAGCAGCCGCCCGAGGTCGGTGCTAGAAGGCCTCTCCCAGGGAGGAGGAGGGGGAGGGGGAGGAGGAGGGGGAGGAGGAGGAGGAGGAGGAGGAGGAGGAGGAGGAGGAGGAGGTGGAGGAGGAGGAAAAGGTGGAGGAGGAGGAGGAGGAGGAGGAGGAGGAGGAGGAGGTGGAGGAGGAGGAGGAGGAGGTTCAGGCCGACCCGTCCTGCGAGACAGCTCCGGTCGTGGCGGCGAGGAAGCCGCGAGGCGACCCAGCGAGGGGACGAAGCGCTCTGGTCGCAGCGGCGCGGCTCCACGCCGCGGTCGCCGGCGGCCGAGGGGCACCGGGCACAGCAGGAGAATAGGAGCGGCCGCGAAGGACGGGCCCCTGAAGCCGCAGGCGGCGTGGCACGCTCAGGGCGTGCAGCTCTTGCGCGCGTGTGCTGGAGCGCGAGCTCGCACAGCGGGGGGGGATGTCGGAGGCGCCAGACAGAAGCAGCCGACGGAAGGCGCAGGGGGATGGGGAAGGGCCGCCGTGGTCCCGACGCGCCCTCCTCCGAGCGCGAGCCCCGCGAGCCCGGCCCACGCAGCAGGACCTCCCCGGCCAGCTTCCAGAGACGCGCCGCCCAGGCGCCAGGCGTGGCGAAGGGGACGCCCAGCAGCGCGCAGAGAGCCCTCGAGGCGCCGCCGCCGCCGCGGGGTGCCTCCCATCGCCCCGACGCTCGGTCGGCGCCCCGCCTCGCCCTCCGCGCCGCCGCCTGACCGTGCGGCCCGCGGGCGCCCAGTCAGAGGCACACGCGTTCCAAGAACGCATCCGACGAGGCCGCTGCCGACCGACCCACTGACCGACCGCGGCGTCGTGCGGCAGGCCGACGACGACGCCGGCAGCCGCGGCGACGCAGTCGTCGGCGTAGTTGGCGCGCCCGCCACGGTGGCCGGTCGGTCGTCGTCGTGCGCTGCAGCTGACCGACGACGACGACGACGACGACGACGACGACGACGACGACGACGACGACGACGACGACGACGACGACGACGACGACGACGACGACGGTCGCGGAGGGCGCGCCTGCGGTCCCCTCGCCGGGCCCAACCGCGCTGCCGGCGGCGGCCCCAGCACCCGCAACCGCCGCCCCCATGGCGCTGCCTCGGCAATCTGGGCCCCGCCCCGCGTCATCGCGTCGTCGCGTCGACGGTCGTTCGTCTGCGGCGGCGCTGGCGGCTGCTCACCCGCCGCCGCGGCCGGCCGGTCGGTCCTCGGCGGCGTCGTCGTCGGCGCTCTCGACGCCGCCGTCAGTCGGTCGGCTGGCCGTCCGTCGCCAGATCGGAGCTCGGCTGGGGCTGTCGGACCTTCTCAGGGCTCCGACGTCGCGGCTCGTGCACAGTGTGGGCGCCAAGAGGTCTACGTGGACCCCTTCCCCTCCTCCTCCTCCTCCTCCCCCTCCCCTCTTCCTCCTCCTCCTGCTCCTCCTCCTCCTCCTCCTCGTCCCTCCGCCTCCTCCCCTCCTCCCCCTCCTCCTCCGCCTCCTCCTCCTTCTCCTCCTCCGCCTCCTCCTCCTCCTCCTCCTCCTCCTCCTCCTCCTCCTCCTTCCTCTCCCCAGAGGTCTACGTGGACCCCTTCCTCAGGACCGCGTGGACATCCCGAGCCGCTCTTTGACATCCCCGGGGGGCCCGGGCAGGGCCCCTGGAGGCCGAAAAGCAAGCAGAAGCCTGCCGTCCTGCCTTTTTCCGCGACGGAAGAGAGCGGGGGTTGCTCGGGCCTCTGGAGGGCTCGGGGAGCCTCGATGGAGGCCGCCCTACTGGTGTCGAGGTAGACAGGTCGGTGCATCGGCGCGGCGAGAATCGGGCGCTCCGCACCCCGCCGCATGGCCCATGCATCGGCGATGCGGCGCGATCCACTCACCCCTTTCACTTCGAGCCCCCTCGGGCGGCCTGTCAGGGCCCCGCAAACTGGGACCTTCGCTAAGCCAGGAAGGACGCTGCCGCACCCATGAAGAACAACTGCAGCCGGGGGCCGAAGCATCCCCGACACTCTTTGCCTTCGGTGGGCCATGAAGAGACGCTGGCGCACCGGGCACAAAAAGCTGCAACCGTGGCCGAAGCACCCCCAATTCTTAACTTTTCTTTATGGCGCGATCTGCAGTGTCCTGGTGTGCAAAAAGTCGTGGCTCCTGGAGCCCCGAGTAGAGGAACAAAAAACACATGATCATAAACTTTCGGAGGTCCGCGCGGATTTATGGGATCCGCGCCGGAACCCCCTCCCTGGCGCGCGGAGCGCGCCAAGGGCGGCGCTGGAGGCGCCGCTAAGGTGGGGGCTCGGCCACAGAAACCTCGGCAAGAAACCCAACCCTGAAATACGCAATTTGCTCAGTGACAACCCAAATTTGTCGATCGAAAATCGTCAAGCTCTTATTGGGAGCCCATCGAAATCCAAGAAACCCAGGGCACCCTGGCAGAATCCATCTGGTTTCTCGGCACGCGGCCCCACTGCAGGGGGGCCCAGCGCGGATCCAAGAAACCCGCGCGGAGCGCCAAACTTTATGTTTATATGTGTGTTGTTCTCCTTCCACCGAGCCTGGTTGTCCACGAGGCACGGCCTGGATCGGGGGTGGCCCTCGGAGCCTCAGGGTGCCAACCTCGAGGCCCTCGGAGCCTCGGGCCCTATGGGAGGCCTCAGGGGCCTCGGCGCCTCGCCATCGACTACTCCTCCCCCTCCCCCTCCTCCTCCTCCTCCTCCTCCTCCTCCTCCTCCTCCTCCAGCTGCTCCTCCTCCTCCTCCTCCTCCTCCTCCTCCTCCTCCTCCTCCTCCTGCTCCTCCTCCTCCTCCTCCTCCTCCTTCCTCTCCCCCAGCCCCTCTCCCTTGTCTGGAGCGCCGTGCCGTTCGGGCAGCTCGGGCGAGAGGTCGGGCGCCCCCGGCAGAGGCCCAGCGGCCCCTCACCCATCTCTAGTTACCCTGCGGCAGCGGTGGGCCCACTGGATCCCCGAACCACTCCACTCCGCGCGACCTCCCAGGAGCCCACGAAAGTGGCGACAGCTTCACACCTCGCAGCCCCCCAGGGAGCCGCGAGGTCTCAACTGGATCTCTAATTACCCTGCGGCAGCGGTGGGCCCACGGAAGTGGCGGGATGGGCTGCGCACGTTCGTGGGTCTCAGCCCCGTCGTCCAGCTAGGGAGCCCCTGGCGTTGCCGAACCGCCTCGGTGCTGCTCGGTGCTTGAACTGGCTTCAGGCCACGGCTCAACCTACCTGCATGCCCACTACGAGAGCTGCGCATCTTGAGCATGGGCGACTTCGGCAAAATAGAGCGGTCCCCCTTCCCCCCGTAGACTCCCAACCATACCTTTATCGGCATGGCCGGGTGGGACAGTTGTCAGGGGCTCCCACCCCACCAATAGCTTATAATCCACACACGCCAAAACGTCGACATGACAAGAGCAAAGATGGAAACTCCTTCCTGGCAACTGTCGTGCTCAACTCAAGCTCTCCCCTGTGTGGCATCACAACGCAGAAACCACTCCTGGACGGCTCCCCACCTCCCCAGGCAGACAGGCATACGTCCCGGTCGTCAAGATACCTCCTCCTGGCGCTTGATGCCGCTGTCATCTGAAGCCCAAGAGATGCTGCCACTCCTCCCCCCCGCCAGGGGCGGCGGCCCCTGCGCGGGGGGGCAGTCGTGGAGGAGGAGGAGGAGGAGGAGGAGGAGGAGGAGGAGGAGGAGGAGGAGGAGGAGGAGGAGGAGGAGCCTGTAGAACGAACAAGAAAACACATGAAAGCACGAGAAGGGCCCTCCAGGGGAGAGGCAACTGGGCCCCCTGGCGGCACCGGGCGGGGGGTGGGCGGGGCGACGGAACGACGGAGACGGCGCAACGACTGAGCTGAGAAGTCCTGGAAGAAAATGTAATACCTCCTCCTCCCTCCTCCTCCCTCCTCCTCCTCCCCTCCTCCCCCTCCTCCCTCCTCCTCCTGCTCCTCCTCCTCCTCCTCCTGCTCCTCCTCCTCCTCCTCCTCCTCCTCCTCCTCCTGGTTCGGGAACATACTAGCCCGGATCAGTCCAAACTCGGCACAGTCGGTCTTGCCAAGACCCCGCAGGATGCTGCAAGATCCGACGCTCTGGCTGGCCCCCGTTTGCGTTGACCCCCGTCTGAAGTCTCCCGCCTGGCCTCCTCCCCCTCCTCCTCCTCCGGAAGCGGGAGGCGCCGGAGCCGACAGAGGCCGCCGCCTGCGACGCCCCCGGAGGTGGGCGCCCTGGCGACCTCCGCTCGGAGCTCGAGCAGCAGGTCGGAGTCCTCGGTGAGCGCGGTGATGATGCACCTGGGGCCAGTGGCGGGCGACAGGCGACGACGACGCCGACGACGACGATGGAAGATGACACGTGCGACGAACGCTGAGGACGACGGGCCGTCCACCCTCGTGCTCTTTGGCCCTCGCTCCTCCTTTGAGATCCTCGCGCCGCCGCTGAGATCCTCGCTTCTCGTGCCTCCCCCGTCTGCGCAGTGCTCGACCCTCATGTTGTTTCCCAGGCCTGGGGCGAAGGTGGACGGCGGATGTTAATTCCGTCTCCCGTCTGCTCCCGTGATGATGGTGGTGACCCTCCGCTTGCACCTTCATCTCATTTACGTTTTCCGCTTCCTTGTGGTGAGAAGGACGAGAAGGAAAACAATACATACGAATTAGCCTGGCGAAGGACCCACCATATGCAGTTGTGAATACCGTCTTTGTGAGCAACGCATTCGGTGGAGCTCCCTATGGGGCCACGAAACGCTGTGCTGGGTGTGGCGGACGCATGCGCCCCCCCCCACTGGGGCTTTCGGTGGAGCTCCGTATGGGGCCACGAAGCGCCGTGCTGTGTGTGGCGGACGCATGCGCCCCCCCCCCCCCCCCCCGCACTGGGACCTTCGGTGGAGCTCCCTATGGGGCTACGAAGCGTGTGAGAGGTGTGCCGAGAGCAAAGGCAAGGAGGGGGAGGAGGGAGGAGGGGGGAGGAGGGAGGAGGGAGGAGGGAGGAGGGGGAGGAGGAAGGAGGAGGAGAGACGCGGGGCACCGTCTCTTCAAAACGAGGACCCAACACCAAAGGCTGGTTGGGAACAAGGGTGGGGATATGACGCGTCCGAAATTGAACTTCAAATGCGACCTCCCGCTGCAAACGCCTCGCGAAAACTAGCCGTCAAAACGTGTCTGGCAAGAGGCAACTCCCAGTTCGTCCAGAGAGGCGGCCACGCGCGGGGCCGGGAGGAGGCGCCAGGGCGCCGCTCATTTAGTCGCCTGGCACATATGAGTTCCCAAGCTTTTTCCACTCTGTCGAGTTCTCTGCGATGGACATCCACTTGTTTCCACTGCAGTGGTGCCTTCGCACTTTTGCTGCAAGATTGTCGGCCCACCAAAAGTGGGTCTTCCTGTGGACCATTGCGCCGGCCATGGTTGCGTGGCCAAATCCCGCTGGAGGGCAGCATTGCTCGATTTGTGCCTGTCCATGATTACATATTGTCATGCTCAGTCCCACCTGCACCGTCGCTGCATAGCAACCCACTCTTCATCGCCCATGGCTTCCAACTCCTGAATGGCGTAACGCGTAGCTCGTCGCATCCAGGCGTGCCGGGGTTCGAGATCACCCGAGCTGCCGCTGAAGCTGGATGAAGAATCCGAGTCCGTATCGGAATGATCTGCGCTGTTTTCGTGCCCCCCAAGTGTCGCGCCCACTATCACGCGCATTGCGGTCAGCGCGCTCAGACGGTTGTTCCTCGGAGCTGTCGTCGCTGCGTGCCCGACGTCGTGGTCCTCGAACAATCATGCGAAGCATTCGTCTCTGAGTGCTGCGCACTTGCTGCTCCGAACTTTCATTTTAATCCATATAGAATTGGGAGACACCGTTCCGTTAAACAGCCGCAAGCGATCATGGAGATACTAGGATCTCGGCATGAGCCCGTCTTTGAAAATTCAAGTTATTCAAAGCAGTCTGAATGCGCATATCCACCTCGATCCCCGCTGATTCAACACATGTGAATGATCGGCCCAAGTACTTCGGCGCCCCGCTGAATGGTAAACTCTCGCTGCGCAGCCCGCCGACGTCTGTGTGCTCTGGAACTTGTCATTGGGGCGCGAGCTTGAACATTGTGCAATGTCTTTGTCTTGTTTGGATGAAAATGGAGAACCACTGCTCTTGCCGCCACCGCAACACTGGACAACGCACGCTTGACTCGAGTGGGAGATTTCCCCATCAATAATCATCGGCGAAACGTAAATTTGTCAAGGTCGGGCTGCTTCCGTATTTTCCAAATTCCCACGCGCGTTAAACTGCCGGACCACATGATCGGAAAGGAAATTGAACAAAAGAGAACTTAGCGGATCGCCTCGTTTTGCGCCTCGCTCTACGTTGAATTTCCTGCTGGGCCTGTCTGCCTTGACAACGGCCGTCTGGTCGGAGTGCTGGTTGGTGACTGATAAAATGCACGGCTTGGGGGCGCCTTGTGCTGCCCTTGCTTCCAATATAACCATATAGTGCAACGTCGGAACCCTCATTGAAATCGAGCGTCGCTGCCCGCTGCCCGCGCTGGGACTTGCCACTCCCAGGAAGTCTCGTGAACCATTGCCCAGGTGAACAAGTGATCGACAGAGCTGACACGTCTGCGGCATCCAGATTGCTCGGGCGGCTACTGGGCGCCGTGTGCGAGCTCAAAATCTGTTCTAAACCAATCGGAAAAACAGCTTGTATAGCAATAGGACAAGGCTCGCATGCCCCTGTTTTTCCGGGGGCACCGCTCCAGGCTGCAATGCGGCTCTGCACAGACCCAACAAAGCTTTATTCCAATTCCGCCCACCATGTTTGAACATCTCTGCGGTGACGCCTTCCGCGTCCGCTGTTTTCCCGTTCTCCGGCTGCTATAATCCTCTGTATCTCGTCCATCGTGATGGCTGGATGAGCGCCCCCTGAGAATCAGACACTCTGTCTCCACGTCCTTGGGCACCTGCCGCAGAGGCGCGCGCGTCCGACACGAGTCTGCGAAAATGTCTGCAATCTTGGTCGGTCGCATGTGATGTGCCGGCTATATGCGGGCATGCGGGCGATAACGCATGCGCGTTTACCGCGCCTGGTCTTCTTGATTCGGCAGGCCCCTCGACATCCGCAAGCGCGCATTCACCCCGCACCTTGCGTTCTAATCGTTGTTGATTTCGCGTTTCTCTTGTGATGTGCATGCTCATTGCCCGCCCCTGGCCGCAACTTCCAGCAGCCAGGCCCTTCCGCTGACGAATTAGCTCTTGTAATCGTGATCCTTGTTCTCGCAGTTCCATTGGCGATTCTTCATCGTGGCAAGCTCCGGCCATGGATTGGCGCATGGCATTCTCGACCGCGTCGTATGTGTCCTGCGCAGAGCAACCCGCATGACCCTTGAACTCTGCATTTTCTACCGATGACGTGCAACGATGCTGGCGAAGATAATGCCATTTATGTTCGCGATGCGTTTGGGTTTTCGGCGTCCGGTTCGGATTCTGCTATGCTTTTTGCGATGCCTTGAAGATTGCACTTCGTAGCCGCACCGCTGCATGATCAGAGCCCCGGTCGACGCGCGAACGCGCGACTGGATCCGAGACCGCCCCCCAGAAACCTCTGGACACGATACTGTAATCGATGTGATTGGGGTTTTGGTGAACATTGTGGTGGGTCGGTCGCAAATACGGATGCTCGTTGAACATTGTACTCGTCAAAACAAGGTTCTCAATGTTTGCCCACTTCTTCAACCATTGGTCTCTACGATTTCCTGGTCCGTGGGCGTGCGCCCCGCAAACTTTGGAGTTGTCGCGTTCTTCCGCTGGTCCTGCTCGCGCGTTGCAGTCGGAACCGATCACCGCGTGGAGGTTTCGCAATCTAGCCCCCCTCACGGTTCCAGACAGTATATCGTAAATGTCCTGGACGTGGTGATCGCCATATTTTCGGTGTTGGAAGTACGCAGTCATGAAGCGACTCCTTAGCTGCACGCGTGTGATGTCGACAAAAGCAACGCGCCCACTCACAATAACAATTTACGACACGTGTGCTGATCACCAACTCCATGTTCGTACGTGTCTCCCCCAGCTCCCATGAAGATGCGCCCATGGTTTGTTCCCCACACCTCACTTGTTCCCCACTCCTCATGTTGAATCGGTCACGTAGTCTCGCCGAATGTAATAGCATCCAAATGTATACCTCCAGCCTCTTGCAAACAGCTTCGTAAGTCGGTCGTCTTTCGTGAGGCCGCTCACGCTTTTGTGAATTATCGTGAACACTTCTGGTTCGTCGCGGGGTCGCTGTGCAGAGCAAGGTCGGGGGAGAGGTTGGTGAGGGGTCTGCAATCAGGCGGGGACGTCTCTAGGAACTTCACTGTGAGCTCCTCTGCTTCGTCCTCCTCCGCATCTCACTGGAGCCTGAAGTCTGGGCTCTGAGGGCACACAAGAAGCTTCAATTGCAACAGGCTGGTGAAACTCAAAACTTGAGTGGGCTGTGTTGGGTAACTGAATTATAGTACCCCCTCCCATTCCGCTCCCTTGCCTCCAGCACTGCAGTCACTCAAACTCATCCGTGCCTGGTTCGGGAAGCCGTTTGGCCTGTCACTTCTTCATTGACTCCTCAATGCTCTCTATCAGCGCATGAGCCATAGCTGCCTTCAGAAAACTGCCATCCTCGTCATACCATGCCACTTTTTTGCTCTTGACCGTGACCAAAGACAAATGTCACATTATCAGCATATTCGATCTTCGGGTCATCGTCATTCTTCTCGGGCATGGTGCGAAACGCAATGATCCCCACTTTTGTTGCGTCCGCTTCAGTCGTCACTCGTACGTCCGGCTCTCCTCCGAGTAACTATCTTTTATATATAATATTCGGTATTCGATACGGCTTCTGCTGTCAGTTGTTTGTCGGTGATCCCGATCGCGGCGATCTGTTGATTCCTGTAGTTCGTGTCGTAGGCCTTCTCCTTGGTGCGGCGCGTAGATGCCCAGCCTTTCGATCACTTCCCCCTTCGCGATTTTTTTGGCGACAGCTGGCAGGTCCACCTTTTTGACAATGCTGCCCTGGAGTTCCTTCACCTCCTCCTTGACTCCGTCTACTGCTTGCTCGGCCATGATAGGTGCTGCTTTAGCATGCCGTGCCATCGTATTCGCCTCCTCTGCCTCCTTTTTGGTATCCTGTATGTCCTTCCTCTTCCCTTCCATCATGCCCATCACCTGTTACATCAGGTCATTCATTTTCACATCCTCGTCTTCGCCTCCTATGTCTATGTCCACTGTAACCTCTTTGGCGCCGTCAGCCTTCAGCTTCCTATCTTCGGGAGGCAATCCTGAACTGGAGTCCGCCCTGAAGGGAACCACCGACCATCTTGCCCACAACGCCTATGTTAGACAGCGGTTTGTTGGTATCCTGGGCCCGTAACGTCCGTTACAAGGCGCGGGGCCAGGGGGGGGGTAACGGTAACGATTGGGGTGGGGGCGGGGGGTGGGGGCGGAGGGGGGCACGCGTGCACCGCAACGCCTGTGCACGGCGCCTGTGCACATCGCAGCGCCTGCGTACACCACGGCATCCGTGAGCAACACAGCGCTGGTGCACACCACAGCGCCTGCGTGCACCATATCTCCTGTGTGCACCGCAGCGCCCGTGTACACCAGAGCGGCTGTGTGCAACACAGTGCCCGTGCACACCGCAGTGCCTGTGTGCACCACAGCGCCTGCGCCTGTGTGCACCGCAGCGCTCGTGTACACCAGAGCAGCCGTGTACACCACAGCGCCTATGTAGACCGAAGTGCCTGTGTGCATCACAGCGCCTGCGTACGCCGCAACAGCCATGTGCAGCACAGCGGGCGCCAGTGTACACCACAGTGCCTGCGTGCTCCACAGCTCCTGCGTGCACCAGAATGAAGCGCCTGAGCGCCTGCGTGGCAGGGCCCGCGGGCACCACAGCGCCTGTGTACACCACATGGCACGCGCACGCCAAAACAGCCGCGTGCATCACATAGCCGTTGCCGCAGTACCGCTGTAGCCGTGCGCGTGCACCGCAGCGCCTTCTGCCGCCCGCAAGGAGCGCCCGCGTGCACCAGAGCGCCACGTGCGCAGCAAGCACCCCGGCCGCGTGCATCAGAGCGCACGCGTACACCATGCCACCGCCGGGGGCCCGCAAAAATATCCAAATCGATGTCAGTTATTCGTGAGTGTTGACTTTTGTGGCCCGGGGCGCGGCCCCCCGGTTTTTGGCCGACACTGCCTGTGTACAAGGCGCTGCCTCTGTTCACTTCCCTGCCTGCGAGCAACACAATGTTTTGGACCGCTGACGGCGCCAGCAAAAGGAATTCACGCATGACAAGCAGGAGGAGCAGCAGCAAGAGGCCAAGATGCTTGAGCCAAGGAAACCTGTGAGCCACACGACGACGATCGGCGCCGTCCTGGGGCCTCTGGAGGCTCCAGGACGTCGTCGTTCGTCGTGGTTGTCGCCGCCGTCGCCGTCGCCGGATGCCCGAGAAGCTGACAGACTCGGAGCTGCGCAAAGTCAAGATCCCCTCGCCAGGGGACGCTAGGCAGAGGCGTGTCTAGCACGCAAAGGACTTCCAGCTCCTTCGATTCCTCCTCCTCCTCCGCCTCCGAATCCTCGTCTTCCCCCCCCCCTCTCCTGCTGCTGGGGGGCAGCGGGCCATGATGCGACGGCAATCGTGTCACGCATGCGATGTGAGGTCATGGAGACTACGGCGACTGAAACCGAACCACTTCTACCAACATATCGCCGATATATTGGTAGATGCGGTTCGTTTTTTAGTTCCCCTATACGGTAGCTTCACGTACCTTCGCCGCCTTACGCACCTCCCCCGAGGCGCCTCGCAACCTTGAGCGCCCGCGCTGGGGTCGATGCTGGACCCGGCACCAGCAAATCGAGTCCAACAACGATCCAAAAATCCGCGCGAACCTCCGAAAACTCACGTTTATATCGCAAACAGCCGCTTGATCCGACACCGTGTCCGCTGGCACGTCGAGGCGTAGAATAATGCAAACTTTTGTCTGGTACGGTTACCTTCTTCCTCTGGGCTCTGCTGCATTCGCCGCTGCTCCCTCTCCTTTTCTTTTTTTTTGTTCTCGGTGGGAACAGAACCATTCGTTGGAGAACATCGTGGCGTGCGAGCACACCAGACGCCCGCGAGCACGGACGGGACCTGCGAGGAGAGAAACATCGGGAGAGGGAGGAAAACATCATCTTCGATTGTCACCAAAACTAGGGGTGCTTGCGCCCACCACAGCGCCTGCGTACACCACAACAACCGCATGCAACACAGCGCCGGCATACTCCGCAGTGCCTGCGTGCACATCAGCGCCTGTGTACGCCGGCGATGTGTACACCGCAACATCCGCGCGCACGGGGGGGGTGTTAGTGCCACCGCCCACCGTACGATCGTTACGGGGGGGGATGCGGACCCCCAGTGACAAGCGTTACGGGGGGGGGGCGATAACAAAAACAATTTCTTACCCAATACGACAGAGCGGATGTTGTTCTGTAAGGGGTTTGTTGTATATAAGAAGACACAGGAAACCCACCACCACCTTGAGGAAACTCGTGCCCGAGCTGTCCAAAGTCTTACGGTCCCTGGCAAAGACACGTCGCAACAAAAGGTGCAACACTGGACACTGGGGCCTTCCGCAGGACCAGGACTTCATCAAGAGGATTTTTGGTGACGGTCCTGGGGTTTGTGGAGGGCCCCCACAGGATCGAAAAACAGAGAAACCCTGCAAGAACAGTTTCCCTCAGGACCCGCTTGCTGAGATGCCTCCTCGATGGGGCCCGAGTAGATAGGAACGGAGGATTGCCCCGGATCGCCAATGTATTACCGATGCATCGGCGATGCATCGACTATACATCGGCGATGCATCGGGAAGGGCGGGCTCCATATCGAGCCAGATCGTCGATGCATCGGCGATGCGGCGCGATGCTCCGATCCCATTTACTCGGACGCCATATAGGATGCCCATGGGCGCGCCTGAGGGGGAAGTGAGAGGGGGCACGCCTTCTCAGAAGGCGGCGGGCTTTCTCATAATCCCGCCAGCCTTTTGAGGATCCGTCTGTGTCTTCGGCGAAGGCATAGACAACTTCTCTCTCACAAGGGAGGTCTTCCCAGCCTTCTGGGATAGCCCGCCTCCTCTGGCTTCCCCACTGGGCTCGCCGCAGAGCAACGCTGACCCTAGCTGCCCCGATGCGCAACACCCAACCCGTAGCGCGTTGACGAGGAGCCCAAACACGGAGATTGAAGACGCAGGCTTGGCGCGCTTCTTTCGCGAAAGCGATGGCCAGCAAGCGCGGAGCCAGCACGCAACGTGAGAACACGGACGTCTTGAACACGGAACGCGCTGCAGGTCAACACACGGACACGTCAGGGTAGCTGAGCCTCTGCCTTCCCCCCTGGGCTCGCCCCGCCGAACGACACTGGCACATCTCGGGTCGGGCGAAAGGGGGGGATAGCAAAGGGGGGGGGTTGAGAATCAGCTCACGTAGCTGATTTCCCCGGCGCCTCCCGGCGCCGGAGGCGGCTATGTATCGAAGAATGGGCCCCTCCGTGGGGCCGAAACCAGCTGCACGCAGCACACTTCGCAACCCCCCCTTTCCCAATCCCCCCCCTTCCGTCCGGCCCGAACATCGGGGGGGGGGGGGGCGCGTGGCCTCACGGTGTCCTTCCGCCTCTTCAGGTACGCCCGGATGGGGTCCGACACCGCCTCGAGGAGCAGGCCGCGCGGGTCCACCAGCCGCATCGCCCTGATGGTCTTGACGTACACCCCGATGACGTCGTGCGTGCGCGCCCCGGCCTTGGGCCCTCGCTTGAGGGGCCCGTCTTCCGCCAGCACCACCAGGAGTCCGAGGGGGGAAGGAGGAGGAGAAGGAGGAGGAGGAGGAGGAGGACGACGAAAAGGGAAGGAGGAGGAGGAGGTGGAGGAGGAGGAGGACGAAAGGAGGGCAGGAGCAGGAGGAGGAGGAGGAGGAGGAGGAGGAGGAGGAGGAGGAGGAGGAGGAGGAGGAGGAGGAGGGAGGAGAGGAGGAGGAGAGGAGGAGGAGAGGAGGAGGAGGAGGAGGAGGGGACGAAAAGGAAGGAGGAGGAGGAGGAGGAGAATGAGGTGGAGGAGGAGGAGGAGGAGGTGGGGGAGGAGGAGGAGGAGGAGGAGGAGGAGGAGGAGGTGGGGGAGGAGGAGGACCCCCTCCTCCTCCAACTTCTTCCGGTGGTGGTGGCGGTGGAACACAGGCCCAGCATCTCTCTCTCTCTCTATCTCTTGGGCGAGCCGCAGGCGCTCCAGGGCGCGAGGCTCCGGTCGGGCCGCCCGCGGCCCGCGCGCGGCCGAACGGGGAGCCTGGCTGCCAACGCCCACGGACGGGAACGAATGGTGGCCGCGCGCAGCGGATGACCAAACGGAGCAACTGAAGGGGCCCTGGGACACAAATAAATACACACAAAGAACAGGAATCCCCATATTTTCCATATTTTCTGGATTTCTGTCTTCCCCCCCCTCCCTTTCTTTTCCCATATTTCTGGGGAATCGCCGATTAATTGTGTCTATGTGTTTTTTCCTCTTCTGAGCAACAACCACCCCACCTGAGATCCTCCATCACCTCCATCGAACACGCGTATGTGCTCGGCACTCCGCAATGGCGGATAATGGTGATGGGGGCGGCGGGGCCGTCGGCAGTCTGCGAGGCTCTGAAGAAGCCCGCCGCGGGCGCCCATTTTTCAGTACGGCAATGATGGTGGTAGGTCGCGGGTGGGTCGCGGGTGTGTTGCGGGTGGGTCGCGGGTGGGTCTCGGGTGGGTCGCGGGCCGGGTCGCGGGTGGGTCGCGGGCCGGGTCGCGGGTGGGTCGCGTGTGGGTCGCAGGTGGGTCGCAGGTGGATTGCGGGTGGGTTGCGGGGTGTGTCGGGGTGGGTCGCGGGGTGGGTCGCGGGTGGGACGAAGGCAACAATAACGCAGCGCAGCGCAGCGCAGCGCAACGCAACGCAACGACACCGACAACGACACCGACAACGACAACAACAACGACAACGACAACGACAACGACAACAATAGCAGCAGCAGCAGCAGCAGCAACAACAACAACAACATCACAAATTCTCTATGCTGGGCATTCGAAATATTAATGAAAAATCGTTGTTAGGCGTTCTGGGGATCTGTCGCGCGATTGTTCCAGATAGGACAGGGCGCCAAGACGGGCCAAGAGGGCCGCAAGAGGCCCCCGCACCAGCCCAAGGTGTCCCCGAGTCGCCCAAAACAACTGTCCACGACGCCCAAGATGGCCCACAAACGGCCCAAGAGGCCTCGAAAAGGCCCCAGGACGGCTCCAAGAGGCCCCCCAAGAGGCCCGCAAAAGCGCCCAGGGGGCCCCCCCGAGACGGCCCAAAAGGTCCCACGAAGGGTTCCCCAGGGGCCGAAAAAAGGGGCCCAAGAGAGGCCCCGAAAGGGCGCGCGACCCGACGCGTCGAGGCCCTTCGCCCCCAGAGTGGCCCCGAGACCGCCGGCGGGCCCCGAAGAACCCCGCCACGAGCTCGAGGAGGCGGCCACGGGGCCAACATTGGGCACCAAAGGCCCCCCCAAAGGCCCCCCAAAGACACCGCCTCCTCCTCCTCCTCCTCCTCCTCCTCCTCCTCCTCCTCCTCCTCCTCCTCCTTCTCCTCCTCCTCATCCTCCTCCTCGCCCCCCTCCTCCCCAAGTCCCCCGAGAGGCCCCCCCAAAGACCCCCGCGGGCATCGCAAAAGACACACCAACATACAACACGGGGCGCGGTGGCGGGACGCGCCGACGGCAACCATATCCGCAGCCCCCGCGTGGTCTTGAGACAGGGGTGCGCGGCGTGCTGGACGTTCGGCCGTTGTTCCTCTTGCTTGTCCAGGCGTTCCCATGGAACCTTCGGCCGGCCCCGCCGGCCACCCGCAAAGCCCTGCCAATGGCGCGCTCAATCAATGCCCCCCCCCCCCCCCCCAGATGGCCCCAAGATGGTCAGTGGCCTCCAGTCTGGCAGAGACGACCTCCAAGACGGCCAACGAAGCCCCAGGATCGGAGATCGGAGCCGAAGGTCGAACGTGGTTTGGTGAAAACGAACTCGGGCCCCAACCTGGCGGGCCCAAGCCTAGAAAATGACGGCCGCGGCGCACTCTCGAGAACCGAAAACGGACAATTCACCAACCGACGCGTCAGGGTGGGGGTTCTGTCCACCCCCGACAAGAAAACCCATGGCGGCCGCAACATGCATCCACGACGGCCGAAGATGCCCCCAAGACGGCCTAAGACGCCCTCAATCAAGATGGCCCGAAAAGGCGCAGGAGGCCCCCAAAAGAACTCCAAGACGGCTCCATAAACTTTCGAGAGGACCTCCAGGAAGGTCCGAAGCGGCCAACATCATCGATTCGCCTTTCGCGCTTAATGGATTTAGGCATTTCTTTTTGTTATGCCTTCCCAGGGCCCATGGGTGCCGAAGAAGCCCTGGGGATCGCCCCGCGATCGCCATAAAGGCCTCCAGGATGGCCCCACGGCGTCCCAAGAAGACCCCGTGACGGCACAACAAAGCCCCAAGACGGCCCAGGGGGCCTCCAAGACGCCCAAGATGGCCCCCAAGTCGGCCCCGAAGCAACCCAATGAAAGCACTAAATCGGAAAGGAGAGGCCCCCGAGACAGCTCCCTACGGCGACGCGCGCGCGAGAGGCGCTCTCAAACGGTCGACGAGACCCCCCCACGAAACCTGCAAAGGCCCAGAAGGGGGCCAAGGAGCCCCCCAAGATGCCGCCAAGATGCCCCCGGGAAGCTAATTTCCAGGGGCCCCCGAGAGCGCCCCAGTGGGCCCCTCTGCGGCCTCCTTCCAAGTCCCCCTCCATTTTCGCCCCTCTCCTGCGCCCTTCCCCCCGAAAAGGCCCCCCACATAAGGGGGGGCGCGTGGCCCGACTGCCCGGCCAAGATCCGGCCGCGGCGCTCGGCCGCGCCGGCCGCCCCCGAAGGCTGAGTGCGACGGTGGCTCGCCACGGGCGATTTCGATTCACCGCAGACCGTGGCTTGCCGCGGGGGCGCGCGGCGCGCCAGACTCTCAATCGCGCGCTGCGCGCTGGGGTCGAGGTTGTCATCGGCCCTCGCAAACGCGTGTCCTCGTTCGTGCTGGTCGCCCCCCGCGCGCCCGCGCGCTCCGGGCACGCAGCCGACCGGCGCCTGCCAGCGGAAGCCTCGCGCTTGGAACTCGCTGAAACTGTTCCGAACGCCTCTGAGGCGCGCCTGAAGCGGCGCCCGCCACGGGCAGCGTGCGGCGGGCGACCGCCCGCGGGCCACGTTGACAACGGAACCACGCATGCCCACTCTAATCCACCTGTCCGCGACAACCCCGCGGCCGAGGCGAAGCCCGCGGGCGCGCGCCTGCGCGGGGCGGCTCGCCGGGCCCCCGGCCGCGTCGCAAATGGCTCGGAGGCGGCGCGGCCGCCGGCGAGTCGGGGCGCGACCCGGGTTGAACTACGCGGCGCGCTCCTCTAAGTGCTTCGACGAGATGTCCCGGGCCGCTCGCCCCCCGACGCCCCCGATGAGGACGCCGGGGGCATGGCGGGTGAAGGCGCCGATTTGGCCGTCGCCCAATGGCCTGAGATCGACGTCTTGCCCGCGGAACAACCTTGAAAGAACGCTGAATTGCAGCGGCGCGCGCGCTGGCGCCTGAACTGATTGCGGTTCGCACCCCCGCTGTTCCGCCCCCTGTCTGGGGCGAGGCCCCGGGGCCAATTTCGCGAGCGCTCGCGCGCCAACTGCCGCAGTTCAGACATGCGACTTTGGCGTTCCCCCCCCCCCCGCGAACGCCTCGTCGCGCCGCGCAGGCCGGGAAGCCCATAGTCTTGTGCGATTGCGGAAAGACCGTGGCCGCAAGACCACCGCTGGGCTCTTTCGAGGGCGAGTCGGGCCCCGAGCAGCCAGTTCCTGGTCCGCGAATCTGCGCGGCCCCTCTCCCTGCGCGGGCACTCTTGCCGCTGGGACATCGTGGGCAGCCAGCCTCGCCCCGTTTGCAGAGCCCCCCTGGCACGGGCCAGCTTCGCCTGGTCGGCGTTGCACCGGCCATCCTCCGACGCCTTGCCCGACGCAGGATGCGGCGTGGTCGCTGCGTTGCGTTCGCGAGTCTGCGCTTTGGCCTCGCGCTGGGCGGCGCGTGCCATGGCAGGGTCGCGGGGTGACTTCGGTTCGCGGGCCCGACGGCCGCCCTCTGCGCGGGCGTCGCCCAGCGCGCAGATGCCCCCCTTCCTTGTGCTCGGGGGCGGCCAGCCGCTGGGGGCCAGCCCCTGCCCGCGCGGGGCCTCGCTTTCGCTCGCCTGCGCTCGGCAAGGCGCGCCCGCGGAGCGAGCGGCGGGGAAATCTGACGGACGGGGCAGACCCGCGGAAACTTATCCATGAACCGACCGCCCCCGGAACAGCGGAGCCGAGGTGTGCGCACTTCTCCTCTTGCGCCTTCGCCGGGCGACCCCGGCGCGCCGCGCGTGGACCGCCCGCCCGGCCACAGTCAGCGCGGGTTTCACATGGCAGAAAAATCAGAATGATCATGGTAACGCTCGGCGCCATCACGCCGAGCCTGCGAAACATCGCTTGTCTGGCCCACCTTGTTCTCCAAAGTTGTCGCGGCCAGGTGGCCCCAGCGAGCCTCGGGGTTTTCGATCTCCAGATGATCCACCACTTTCCCCCATGGGGGGCTTCATGTTGCCAACTGCCCAGCGACCCCTGGCGCAGACACCTGCCCCCTCCGCAAGCAGCGCGCATTCGTGGGGGGTCGCCCTGTTTGGGGCCCTCGCGCAAAGCGTTCCAGCGCGGCAGA